TGTCCGCTGCCATCTCCACTGTCTCTCCACACTGACTCACATCTCTCTTAACTTGGTCATACCATCTCATTTTTGGTCTACCAGTGGACGCTTTCCAGTTGGTACAGCAGAACATACTTCCTTCAGTCTTGTTCCTTCTTCCCTTCGCAATACATGACCTAGCCAACCTAATCTTTTTGCTTTTATCAAAGCTATTATATCAGTACGTCCTGGTATAACGGTCGTAGCTCTCTGTTTTTTCTAATCCGCCATTCTCCTTCTTCGTTTACAGGGCCAAATATTTTTCTTAGGACCTTCTTTTCAAAAACAATCAAGCGTCCTTCATTTCTCTTGGATAGGACCCAGGTCTCGCTTCCATACAATAATACTGGTTGAATAATGGTTTTATATATTCTTATTTTTGTATCAGATGATAGGAGTTTTGATAAGTTTTGAGTTCATGAGTTTTGAAGCGGTGATAGTATATAGTTCAAAATCACATACAAAAGCTGAAATAACTTTTGGACCATAATTTTTACAGCAATTCCATACCGAGTCTCTTCTAGTATTCGTGGTCTAATCACAGAATACCGATAATTTCACCCGAATTACCTTTTGAATTCAACTGATGAATACAATTTTCTTTGCGTCTTGCTTTCGCAATCACCATTATAAAATGGCAGAAGACTATCCCTGACTATCGCCGGTTTAAATGTAAAAATGCATGCTTTTCACACGTATGTTGCGTGCACACGTGGTGGTAGGTGCGCATTAAAACTTATGTATATATATATGCATAATGAAAAAAATGTTTATTCACTGGCAATTAAGTAAAATAACTATTCTATTTTTGTTTTTGGTATACGTTTTTATTATCTCATATTAATACGCGAGGACTGTGTTTTGTGAACACTACTCCTCCCTTATTTGTGGACAAATTTCAACGTTTAAGGTGTTGGTGTTAAAGGATTCGGACCAATTCACAGTTTTGCATTAAGGTTTTAAAATTTAAAAGTTCCTACCCTTAAGGGCGTGAGACCCTTTCAAATGTCCGGTTTTCACCATGTTATTTTACTCAAGACTGAATACGAGATGTATTAACCAACATTTTGACCTATCTATGCATTTCATATGTAAAAAATGATGAATAAATGTCTTATGTCTTATGTCTTATGTTAATAATTGTATTACCTATCATTCTTTCTTCCGAAAATAAACTAAAATGTCCAGAAATGCTATTTAAGAGTTAGGTACATTAACTTTCTCTAAATTAACTGAATCAAAGTACAATATATTTAATGCTACAGAATATAAATCCAACCGCGAGGTGGTGGGTTGTCGAGGTGGCACGTTGTCGCCTATGAGCGAGGTGGCGCGTTGACGGCACCGAACACTGAGCGTACACGTCAACCCGCCAATTAATGGAGCGTCAATTCGTTAGCTGGACTTTAAGCTGAAATTAACTTAAAAATATATGTTTAGATTTTAATGATTTTTTAATATGTTATACATACCATACAAGTCTAGACTTTATTTTAAAACGATAAAATTTTGTGGAATATCTTCACAACATAGTTATATGGTTGACCGAACATTCTTAGTATGCTGAGCGCCAATTCGTTAGCTGGATTTTAAGCTAAAATTAACCTAAATATATATGTTTAGATTTTAATGATTTTGTAATATGTTGTACATACAAGTGTACACTTCAATTTAAAACGATAAAAAATTTTGTGGAATATCTTCACAACATAGTTCAAAGTCTGTCCGAACATTCTTAGTATGCTGACCGCCAATTCGTTAGCTGGAATTTAAGCTAAAATTAACCTAAATATATATGTTTAGATTTTGATGATTTTTTAATATGTTATTCATTCAAGTGTATACTTTAATATAAAATGATAAAATTTTGTGGAATATCTTCACAACATAGTTATATGTTTGACCGAACATTCATAGTACGCTGAGCGCCAATTCGTTAGCTGGAATTTAAGCGAGAATTAACCTAAATATATATGTTTAGATTTTATTATTTTTTTTAATATGTTATACATAAAAGTCTAGACTTTATTTAAAAACGATAAAATTTTGTGGAATATCTTCACAACATAGTTACATGGTTGACCGAACTTTCTTAGTATGCTGAGCGCCAATTCGTTAGCTGGACTTTAAGCGAAAATTTACCTAAATATATATGTTTACATTTTAATGATTTTTTAATATAATATACATACAAGTGTACACTTCAATTTAAAACGATAAAATTTTGTGGAATATCTTCACAAGATAGTTATATGGTTAACCGAACATTATTAGTACGCTGAGCGCCAATTTGTTAGCTGGACTTTAGGCTAAAATTAACCTAAATATATATGTTTAGATTTTAATGATTTTTTAATATGTTATACATACAAGTATAGAATTTATTTTAAAACAATAAAATTTTGTGGAATATCTTCACAACATAGTTATATGGTTGACCGAACATTCTTAGTACGCTGAGCGCCAATTCGTTAGCTGGACTTTAAGCGAAAATTAACCTCAATATATATGTTTAGATTTTGATGATTTTTTAATATGTTATTCATTAAAGTGTATACTTCAATTTAAAATGATAAAATTTTGTGGAATATCTCTACAACATAGTTTGATGTCTGTCCGAACATTCTTGGTATGCTGAGCGCCAATTTGTTAGCTGGACATTAAGCTAAAATTAACCTAAATATATATGTTTGGATTTTAATGATTTTTTAATATGTTGTACACACAAGTGTACACTTCAATTTAAAACGACAACATTTTGTGGAATATCTTCACAACATAGTTATATGGTTGACCGGACATTCTTAGTATGCTGAGTGCCAATTCGTTAGCTGGACTTTAAGCAAAAATTAACCTAAATATATATGTTTTGATTTTAATGATTTTTTAATATGTTATACATACAAGTGTACACTTCAATTTAAAACGATAAAATTTTGTGGAATATCTTCACAACATAGTTAGATGGTTGTCCGAGCATTCTTAGTACGGTGAGTGCCAATTCGTTAGCTGGACTTTAGGCTAAAATTAACCTCAATATATATGTTTAGATTTTAATCGTTTTTTAATATGTTGTACATACAAGTATAGACTTTAATATTTAAAACGATAAAATTTTGTGGAATAATGTTACAACATAGTTAGATGTCTGTCCGAACATTCTTAGTACGTCGAGATCAAGTTCGTTAGCTGGACTTCAGGCTCAAATTAACTTAAATATATATATTTGGATTTTAATAATTCTTTAATATATTGTACATCCATGTATTTACTTTAATTTAAATGATAATATTTGGTGCAATATCGTTTCAACATAGTTTAAGTACGTCCAAACACTCCTAGTACGCTGAGAACATATATATATATATATATATATATATATATATATGTTGAATATATTTGTTAAAATGTAATGTAAGAAGAATATTACGCATAAGAATGCATATTAATGCATAATAATATTACGTATGCATAGTTATTAGTTTTAGTTCGGAAAACTAATAACTATCCGTAGAAGGTAAATTCAAATGCGAGGTCTTTTAGCGAATTTCCCATATAGGGAATAAGCTATTACCGTGTAGGTCTCATGGTAAGACCTGGACCCGGGACTGATATAGTTTTTCGTTTTGAGGTCCCCAGAGGCCAAAAACACCATCCGTTCAAATTCATATATATATATATATATATATATATATATATATATATATATATATATATATATATATATATATATACTAGCTGACCCGGCGAACTTCGTATCGCCTAAGTTATAGGTTTCCCCTAAGACAGACCGATGGAAAGAAAGTACCGTTACGTTTAATTTTCAAGATGATCTCGTTCGCATCGCTCAATCACGTCCTGGTTGAAGTTCGTTCGCTACGCTCACTCACCTTTGGGTTGGAGCTCGTTCGCTACGCTCACTCACCTTTTGGTTGCAAATTAGCTGTTGTCATAAATGTAAAAGAAATAATAGTGCTGCACCCTGTTGGTAATCCTTGTAACTTTAATGCTATTGAACATCATAGAACAGAACCAACTTGTTTAATTGAAACAGCTGTTAAGATTCATTAATTCCATTCCTCATAAGGTTAACATGGGAAACTCCAGAGCCACTGGGGCGGAGCCCTTTTAAGAATTTCGAAACGGGAAATAGTTTACGTCCGATTCGCATACCTACAGAATTTACACACAAAATTTCATAACGATCGGTGAAGTCGTTCCGGAGGAGTTTGCAGACAAACACTGTGACACGAGAATTTTATATATTAGATATATATATATATATTATATTTATATATGTGTCCGTTAGCGCGATAACTCGAGCAAAAATGATCCGATTTTGATGAAATTTGGTATAAACGTGTAAACCTACATTTATTCGAACGAGTTCGCGAACCAGCATGATCGGACTATGGGAACAGGGGTTTATGGGGGGTTTTATGGGGTAAAAATGGGGTTTTCTAATTTTTCACCCTTTCTAATTTTTCAATTTTGTAATTTCTTTCTAAACCATTTTGTAGAGCTAAAAAAAAAAAATAATTTAGTATATTGAAGCATTGTTGCATGCCTAACGGTTACGGAAAAATCGCAAAATAGTGTAAATTTAAAATTACCATGTTATTCTTATGGAGAATAAATACAGTGTTATAGCTTGCTTGTCTATGGATATATTTTAATGAAATTTTGAAATTTTGTTTACTTCATACTAAGCTATTAATATTTCAATAAAAACCCCCTATTTTCTTTCCTGTAGCAGCAAACCTAAGTACTCATTAATATTAATGATATTTAAATAGGAAATAAATCTGACAATTTTAGGGAATAGTATGTTTTATCTATGGAATAATTTAGTGGAATTCCAGATGTGTAGATGGAAATTCGCTTAGTCTGCAGGTTTGCTGCGGCGGGGGTATTTTTTTGTATCGACTGTACTGCTCAAACCTAGGCGGAAATCGTTGTGTGGGAGGGGGGAAAATGTAGGGTCGACAGCTGGCGATAGCTCTTCCCTTCACTGTCTTCAGTCTTCACGATCGTCTTAACTCATTGTTCTTTTCTTGTTAGCCTTACTTTGTTGTTGGTGCAAGTTCCATACTACTTCCATATTCATACAAACCTTTGTATGTAGCTTTCTAGCTGTGTTACACTCACTATTCAGTTGTGTCGGGGTCGATTTCATTTTGGAGATAAGTTTAGCTATACTTGAACCTGGAAGAAGTCAGACAGAAAAGAGAAAAGAAGTAACTTAGGCCTAACCTTAGGAATTTTTGTGCTGGTGGTAACTTATTATTGGTAACTTTGTTTCTAAGCACATTTCAAACAGATTTAAAGAAGTGTTAATGAAGTGAATGTGAATCAATTTTGTCTCCAAATACGCCCTCTTTTTGTAAATCGCCCACTTTTTGTAAATAAAAAATAAACTGAGTTGAGTTTCAGAGATTTGTAGAAACTTATCCTTGCACCTAAATGCATATTAGATCCTATAAGTTCTTTCAACAAGCAAGTTTTTGTAAATCATCATTTGGCACCACCTCTAAATTTCAAAATATAACTCAGCTGTATCTAGGCCTACTTAGGCCTACTCGTCAATCATCAAATGTTGCAAATAGTGTACAAAGAACCAGGGGTAGATTATGTCCACAGCTTGGTAAAAGTAAAGAAAACTGTGGGTTGGTCATATGTCCACAAATTTTGTTGATGTTATTCTTAAATAGCCTCAAAATAATTCCAAACGTTTTGAAAACACACTCCGTGAAGATTGTCCAGAATTGTGTTTTGAACTGCGAGTATGTCTTGGCTCATAGGATCAGAAGAAGTCAACAGATATTGTGCCTGTATTCCAAGCTATGGGACGATGTTATGCTAAGAAATTGTTTAAAGAAATTCAAACAAATATTTTTAAGGCGTAACTTTTTATTCATGTTTAGTTCAACCATTTTATCATCTTTTGACTGGAACACGGAAAGGATAACCGATGAAGATATTTTGAGGTAAGCATTAGGCCTAACTTACTTGCAAGATACAGAGGTGCCCACAGGGGGGTGTTGTGACATCATAAAATTTTTTGTAGGGGATTCAAGCCAGTGGTTGGTTAGAAACACATAAAAGATTAATCAGATAATTTTTACTTCCTTAACTTAATTTAAATTACAACTTAATATTAACTAAGTTAAGTTAGCCTTCTTAAACCTAGCCTAACTAATCCAACCTACTGCTTACTTACTGCTTACTACTGTTCTTCTCCTCCGCAGTCATCAAGATTGGGGGAGGCGTTATCTTTTTCTTTAAATCTTCTTAGTGTCTAGTGATTATTGCTTGGTTTTCTATTGTCTTCCTGTTAAATGTATGGTCATCCAGGAATTCGTTCAAACTGTAGTAGGGTTGTTCGAGGAGATAATTTTTCAATTGGTTACTGTAGCAAATTTTTTCGGGTCAGTAATAATTTTTAGCCGATGTGGTAGTAAATTGTAAAGTTTCATCCCTCTATGTTGGGGTTTTTGCTGTTTTTTCTAGTCTATGTTGCGGTAGATTCAGATCGGTTTTTTTCCTGGTGTTTATTTATTTATTTACAGACGGAAAACTCCATTTTCATAAACATACAATGATGGCAAGACGTTTCATTCAGACTTACATAGAACATTTCATACATAACATGAAGATGACCTGACTAAAAAACCCTAATAAATAAGAATTTATAAAAAATATATCAATATACCGGTAACAATAAATAACAATAAATACAATAAATAGCAACAATAATTAACAATCAACATGGGGAACAACAAATTTGGTAATTAGCTAACAAAGATAAAGAATCAAAAAAAGTAACAGTAAATAAATCACTTAAACAACAACAACTACAATGATAAAGAAATAAAAAAGTAAGTACCGGTAACAGTATAATGATCTCAACAGCAGCTAAGCGTAGAAACTCTTCAGCCCATTTCTAAAAGCTTCATCGGACATAGAGAAGAAGTCCAGGTGTTCTGGAAGACAGTTTCCAAGGCGATGGAGACGTGGCATGGTACTGTGGTACGCATATTGTGTAGAGCAATATCTCCTCTCAAACAGTTGTTTAGATCTTGTCGATTTCAACGCTCGAAGGTCGATTCTTCCCATCAATTCAGGTGAATCCAATGAAGCTGAGATTATCTTCCTCAGAAACATTAAATCGGAGACTCTACGCCTGACTGACAAGGGTTGAAGAAAAAGGAGGTGGCTTAGCTCGTCCAAGGGTACATCTTCATAACGAAAGCCCAGCTGCAGTCCAACAATTCGAATGAATCGTCTTTGAATTCCCTCAAGAAGTTCTATGTGGCCCAGCTGATACGGTGACCACACTGGAGAACAGTACTCAAGGATAGGGCGGATAAGTTGAACCTAAAGAGTCCTTAGTGCTTCTGGCGAAAAACCGTCCTTAGACACTCTAATAATAAAACCAAGAACAGAGTTTGCTCTTCTACTAATGGCATCAAGGTGAGCATCGGGACTTAGTGACGATGTTAAAGTCACACCAAGGTCTTTAACAACAGATGATCTGGAAAGTGATTTTCCTCCAAGAGTATAATCATGCATCATGGTATTAGCCCGTCGTGAGAAGGAAAGCACTGTGCATTAAATCTCCAAATTTTGGAGATGTTAAACTCCATTTCATTCTTGAGGCACCACAGTAATACTTGGTCAAGGTTGGCTTGAAGCATATCACAATCATACTCCGACGAAATTTCCTTGTATATTTTAGCATCATCTGCGAAGAGTAATATTTTACAATTTGTGACTACTGAGACCAGGTCATTCACAAATATGGAAAACAGCATAGGACCCAATAACGAGCCCTGGGGGACTCCAGAAAGAACAGGAAACGCGGTGGATGTACATCCATTGTATCTGACAACCTGGTGACGATTACTGACATAGCTTCTGAACCAACTTAGCATGGCACCAGTAACACCCAAAACGCTGAGCTTAGCCAGTAGATGTTCATGACTCAATCTATCAAAAGCCTTCGACATGTCCAGGTAAATGCTGTCTACTTGATGACTTCTGTTGAAGGCTGATATTATATTATCTTGATAGATAACCAGGTTGGATGCAGCTGATCTACGGCTATAGAAGCCATGCTGGGCTGTTGATAAGTGGTTCTTAATAAAAAAATTTAATCTAGTGAGGACCAGGGATTCAAAAACTTTGGCGAGCGATGATTGTATGGAGATTGGTCTGTAGTTTTTTATGTCTGAAGAATTACCATTCTTGAAGATAGGTGTAACAAAACTTGTCTTCAGGCAGTGGGGAAAGATACCCAAGTGCAAAAACCAGTTGATGTATACTGTCAAGTGAGGGGCAAGAATCCAGCTACAGTACTTTAATGTTAATGGTGGAATATCGTCAGGACCAGCTCCCTTATTACCATCTAAGGTGGAGAGAACCTTTTCGACTTCATTGCAAGAAACAGAAAATTCAGTGAAGGAACCAGAAGAACACTGTTCTTCGAAGAAAGGATCTCTTTCAGATGGTTTGAAAACTGAAGAAAAGTGTTTAGCAAAGGTGTTGTAGTTATGTGTTTCTGATTGTTTAGTGGGATTCAGTTTAATTGTTTGAGTTATCACTTCAACCAAGTACAGTATAAGGATGTTAATGTGAGAATTTTGTTTTTTATAAAAAATGGTTTGCAATGTTCTTGATAGTGGGTAGGCCTATTATTTAGGGTTCTTATTGCTTCTTTTTGTAATATAAAAATTGATTGAAAGAGGTCTGTACTGCTGCGCCCCAGGCAACAATTCCAAAACGGAGGTGTGATTCTATGAGTGCATGGTAGGCAATTTTGGCTGTAGTAAAGTCGGTTAGTTTAGTTATCCTTCTCATATAGGGATCCCAGATGCCTCATTTTCCCGGACACGTCCTCTTTTTGGGCACATAAAAAACGTCCGGGGGGATTTTCGGCAAAACCTTAATATGTCCAGGATTTAGACTGGAAAAATCTATATATCTATATATATAAAAGGCAAAGCCCTCACTGACTCACTGACTGACTCACTCACTCATCACTAATTCTCTTACTTCCCATTTACCTAGGAGGCTGAAATTTGGTACACTGATTCTTTAGGCATTAAACAGGAAAACTAAGCTATTTTTATTCTGATCGGACTCTCGGGCTCCGCCCCAGTGGCTCTGGAGTTTCCCATGTTAACCTTATGAGTACTCATATTTAAATGGAATTAATGAATCTTAACAGCTGTTTCAATTAAACAAGTTGCTTCTGTTCTATGATGTTCAATAGCATTTAAGGGGATATGCCTCCTTCTAAAACTTTTTTTAAATTATTTATTTTAAATGGCTTTTGTGGGTTTATTCTGTTTCTATTTCACCAAATTAGAGGATTTATATATAGAAAAAATGTTATCCAAATCAATTTTTGGTCACTTTGGGGTAAATTTCAAAATTTTAAGAATTTTTTTAAAAAATTTTAGTTTTGAATAACTTTTTTGTTTATCAATATAATGTAAAAAAGTAAATATATTTTAATTTCCCACATAACAATGAACATTTCTGTGTATTGAAACTATGGTAACTCAACAAATACAGCTTTAGTAGACCTTTTTACAATAATATGAAAAATGTTACACAAAAAGATCAGATTTTTAATGTAAAACATAAAATTTTATAGGAATAAATAATTGCAGGATGTTCTCTATACACACAAACCTTCTAAACACTATTAAGAACATCTGGTTAAAATTTCATTGAAAAATAATTAGTAGTTTTAAAGTTATTCAAACTTACGTAAATGTAGTAAATGAAAAACGTAGTTTTGAGAAAACGCCGTTTAAAGTTTTCATTTTACTTATTGTTGCTAGGCGCAACGTCTTCAATTTTATTATAAAAATCACTGAAAAAATTCTCCAAATCAAATAAAACTTTGCATACATGTTCAGTAATAGTTAAGGAATAAAAAATTGTCAATTTTGAAAAAAGTAAGTTTTGAAAAAATATTTTATAAAATGGCCTATAGATGGAGGCATATCCCCTTAAGTAACAAGGATTACCAACAGGGTGCAGCACTATTATTTCTTTAACATTTATGACAACAGCTAATTTGCAACCAAAAGGTGAGTGAGCGTAGCGAACGAACTTCAACCAGGACGTGATTGAGCCATGCGAACGAGCTCACTTATGAAGTTAAACGGGGCAAAGCCCGCGGGTACAGCTAGTAAATAAATAAAATTATTCCTGAACGCATAGTAGGCCTAGTATTAGTATTAGTATTGGAGTATTGGCTTGAATCATCAATCGAATAGGATGAGAATGAAATTGGAAACTAAATTAAATTAAAATATTGTGTATTGATATCTTATATTTAGAAGTTAAGTTTCCCTTTTGGATCAAATTTTGTGTTTAAAACTTAAGACTGTTGGCAAAATTAACCCAGCTGTCTCTGCTCACCACCACCACCCAGACCAGCGACTATCTAACTACAGCTAGCTCCTCGTCTGCTTAAGTTTACACTCCTATACGCTTACATTAACATAATTTTCTTACTTCTTGTTTAATTGTCATTCTTTACGTTCCTAGACCCTACTAATGCTGAAAAGAAATTGTGTATTTTCAGTCAAGTTAAAAAAGGGATTAGTTGCGAAAAAAGTTTACTTGTTCTATAAAATCAACACAACTCCAAAATTTAAGTAGTAGCCTAAGTTGCATCATCCTCCGAAACTGACAGTTTTGTTCTTTAAACATGACTCTAAATTCAATCATTTTTTGCATTGCTGAAGAAACTGCATTTCACACTGTAGTAAAACATCACCCGAGTTTGGAGTCCATGGATTGTACCACTAAACTTCAAAATGTATTGTTAAAAGACTCCTAGTAAAACATACATATTTCTAATCCAATAATTTTATATTAAGTGAGGGGGGCTCCAGTAATCCAGACAAAAGTTTTGGAGTTGCACAATTTTTATCATAGCATTGTTAACATAAGCATGCCTGAAAGA